TCGGCTAGCTGTTTTTTTCAGACAATCTCTTAGCTCGATCAAAAATATCACAAATCAAGGGCAGAACAGAAACATCGTTCTGCAGATGGAAACGACGATAAAGTCTGCGCAATCTGCGACGAAAGGGTAAAGGTAGGAAAACCTCATCCCCAACATTAATTATTTTCTTACGGGGGACAAAACGAGAAATAAGCGGATCCAATATTTCGTACAGTTTTGCAGTGCAAACATTTACATCCGAACTAAGGAAGAACTCAGTCCAGTCGTAGGAATTAGGGTGTGTTAATAATTCGGTTGAGCGTGTTGATCGGAAATCGCGGAAAAAGTTGTACTTTTGGGACGACATTTCGTCAGCCCCCGAATGGGTCTAGGAATGACACTGACGATGGCAAGCAGCCTCTACAGAAAATTAGGTCAAGTATACTTGAGCCTCTGGTGGGAAAATCGACAACCTGATTCCACATCCCAACATCCACAGCCTCAAGAAAGTCATCGAACCTTCTGGGGCCTGAAGGCGGAGACCAGCGGACTTCAGGGAGATTAAAGTCACCCGCACCTAATTGATACTTAAAGCTTAAGTCGGCCGCAGCATGAAATGCCTGTGAGAGTAAACGATCAAAATTGTCATTGGCGTTGGGAGGGCGATAGACGCAGCCAACGAGTAAGGAGAACTTATTTTTTAGTGCAACCTGGAGCCAGCAGCTGCCTTCTACTGCTGAAAAGGGCGGGAGGTCTAACGGCAAAAATGTAAGTGTTTGCTTAACGTAGCCGCAGCTGCCCCCACCACGGCTATCTTGGCGATAATTTCGAATGCAATTATAGCCTAGAAGAGAGAGTTCGGAGTCAGCTACTGAGGCTGATGCCCAAGTCTCAGTTACTAAAACAATATCAGGACAATGGACGAACACCTGAGTCTGGAGCAAAGGCATCTTATTAAGCAAGGATCTGGCATTTAAAACAAAAAGTTTGAAGGGAAAGGCTGTTAATTTTTGAGGGAGGTGGGCTACATCGTCCAGTTCTGGGCTGCCCACGGAGCAAACGGTCCGGATGCAACCATCCGGTTCTGCAAAAAATTTTGTGGCATCAAAAAATTCTGACGTGGATAAAAAGGGGTAGGACTTGGGGGAGGGAATGACGGGCAGGTAACCTGGTAACTATTGTTAGCTAACTTACTTTCAGCTGGAAATCCGCGGATAGATATGTCTGTGGGACTTATGAAAGCGAGGGAAGATGCGACCGACCAAACTACCGGCAGATGGAATCCACCGTCATCGTAAATAGATTGCTGGAGGTTGAAGTGGGAGACAACTCTAACATCCGCGAATATCATCGTTCTTGAAGGGATATAGAGGAGCAGGGTAGATTCTGCATGATGGTAGGATGAGAGATAGAGGATGTAAGGCGGTGACAGACCCAGGGCGGTTCTGAAAATGAGAGTGTGTGCTGGACCTCTCAGAGGCCAGCGTGCATTCCTGATCAGGGTAGGCGATTAGCGAAACAGAGCCGGCTTAGAACGTGCACGCCAACATGCTCCTGCCACTTCTTTGAAAGGATTTTTCAGAGAGGATATCGCGTTCGGTAGAGGACACGGTGCGTGGACCGAAAAATCGAAAAAATCGAAATTCCTGATGGAGATCCTACAAAGTTAAACCAGAGGCAAAGAGGGAAACTCGGATGAATAAGCTAATTCAATGGTGGCATCCTAAATTCCCGATAGTCCTCTCTCAAAGACATAAAATGGTTCCGGAAGCACGATGAAAATAAGAGCATAGTGAAATCGGTATTCAAATAAAAGCGCAATCTCCTCTTAAAATTATGCAGATTATCTATCGGCAAGTTATTTCAAGGGAAAGCATACTTGAAGGTGAGAAAAGGGGAGAGCTTAAAAGTGGAGGAAGCGGGAGTATGCATAATCAAGGAAGAATTTTGAACACTGGATGGCGACTAGCAGGGGTAAGGACTGAAATATGAGAAACTGTGGGACTTGGTTCGCATGAAGATTGGGTAATTGATTGGGGAAACAAAGTGACAGACATTAACTATAGGGGCTAAGTATGTCAACATGCGCTTCTTGGAGTAAAGAACACAGTAAGATCTGGGAGTTTAGATTGCAGACAGCCTAAAGCCTTCCACACAATGTTGCAATGCAGCTAAGGCTGCAACTTGTTTGCTGTATGCCATCAAGCGGGCATTCACAGTTTTCGATGAAGAATGCTTCTCTAAATTATTCTGCAAGTTTGTAAGGCCGCGTCTTAATTATGCGATCCAAGCCTGGAGACCCTGGATGCAGAAGGATTTCAATCAAGTCGGAACGGTGCAGAGGCGGACAAAAAAATTACTACGAGTGTATGATGCACTGCCATACGAGACCCGCCTAAATTACTTTAGTCTCTATCCTCTGGGTTATAGGCAGCTGCGCGGAGACTTAATATAAGCTTTCCATATCGGGCGTACCCTCCGGTGTGACGACTTTTTCCAATTAGCCATTAAAAAATAACCTTCGGAGGCATCCCATCAGACTAAATCTCCCCCTAGAAAGATTGTACATGTGAAAGTGTTTTTTCCAATTTTGGGGACTCAGTATTCGAGGTTAAATTGTTAAGCAAAAATTATCAAATAGATTGATGCATGTGCGAGACTGTAAACACTCTTGATACTGGGCACAATTTCGCATGGGACAAAACTCGCATCGTCGGAGTTTGCCCATCTAAAAAAGGCCGAGAGTTTCTTGAAGCCATGCACTCCGATGAGTCATGCATCAACAGACATATCGAATTAGATGCCACGTACAAGAATCTCAGAGAAAAGTGGAAGAGACGAAAGCAGATCAATACGGACTGACACACACGACGGCAGCTTACTAGCTGAGGCACCAAATGAGTATTGATTTTGTAGCACGTTTGAAATTTTAATTGTTTTCAGCACATTTACTCTAGTCTGACGACGACACGGGGAACCGACGTCGAAAATCTACTCAATACAGTTTTCTCCCTTTCCCAAAGAACGTTTTGATTTTAACATTATTATAAGTATGTATTGGTCTTCGGAGAACGCACAAATCAAGGGGATTCGGTAGATTTCAGATGATGCAGAAGGTGCCTTAAAAGTTCGAAATGTCGATTTTTTGATGATCAGCTTGCTCCACACAGTCAGAGAGTAATTTTCCAGAGGGCGCAACCTTCTATCAATTCCATAAAAGAGGGTTAGAGGAAATTAGTGACTCCGCCCAATATTCAAAGTCGAACTAATGCATAAATACTACTTAAGGGGTCATTTACCACCCAATGAGACCAACAGGTGATAAGTGAGGCGATTCTCAGAATAAAACCAGCAAATTCTGATGTGTGAATTATCCTGAAGTGTATACTGTAACAGCTGCTCTAGTGCATACTTCATTATCGACAAAATCAGCGGAGCCGACTTTCTTCCAGTCAGAAGCAAATACTGTAATTTACGGATCAGTAGCAATTATTTGATAATGGGGAGTTATTTTCTTGGAAAAGACAAGGGCTTGAGTAAACAAGTTCTAATTGACTAACGCAGTGCGCGAGTTTGCCTCCGAGCTCAAGGCATCCGAAACTGCGGATATACAAGCGAAGAGCAGATGCGTATTCACAAATTGCATTTGCTTCCTGTGTTGACTACATCAAAGCAACAAACTCAAATTCGTAAAGAATGTGAAGATTTACAAGACCTTGAAGACTTCAGCGCTTTTTTCTTTAGGCCACGTTATTGGCTCGGACTGAGATTCAAAATGCTGACAACTGTTGCTTGGAAAGCCGCGCCTAATGAGAAAGATCCATCTGTAGATCGATGGACTTTATCCCTTGTACAACTTCATATATGTATTTTCAGATATGGGAAATCGACTACTGACTAAATTGTAACGTGTTTTTCCAAGCGAAATAAAGTACTCGAAGAATGATGAAGCAAGCTTTCTCCGAATCATCTTACCCAGCTTGTGCTTCCCCGTGGATGGGCCTTTGGTATCGCGCAGACATAAATGCCAGTTCTTCAGTTCCTTGAAAGTCTTTGTCAAGTGTACTTTAAGTCTGTAACCGCCACCGGCGGCGCCAGGCATGCCCTCATCCGACTGCCAACGCCTACCAACCTCTTCACTAATAGTTCTGTACAGAATACGGCATCCTCCCAGCTAGCGTCCTGCTTCTCTTTTTCCTGTTCGGAACTGGGTCCGATGGTCATAGGGTCTAGATTCTTCCTATGGTTCATGCTGACGCGATAAGATCTCGTAGAGACAGAGGAATGATTTCAAATCTCAGATGAGTCCTGAGACTAATAGCATGCGTGGTGGACTGTGTCTTGACCTGTCGAAACCCGAAGTAGCACCCTTGGATCCTTTGGCTAAATTAGTAATGTCGTTGTGCTCACCCCAGTGTCCGGCTTCCAGCAGCATTTTGGTGTTTCCTTGATGACGCCCGAGTCCGGATGTAAATAGAAGTAGGCTGCATGAATTGCTGTGTGCCCTTATTTCCTCCGTCAAAGATTCACTGATTGTCTTTAGTGTGGAATTTTAGTCCATGAGCAATATAGTTAGTAAACAGAGCACGACCAATCCTAAAAACCTAAAAAGGACGTCTGCCGCCGTTGACGCTGTCCATATTATCGCGAGCGAGTTTGGGGAGACCGCATTTTGTTCTGCACTGCAGTATGCATGCCGTGGTCCAACTCATAAGCGCTCGCGACTGCATGTACGTTCGCACCAATTGCAGTCCGCTTCTCGGCCTATGTCGCCACTGTCCAAACTGGCCAATCACCTTCGAGGCTGACTCAGACGTGACCTCCACTGAAGGCGCTGGACGGCTGCCCCACTGTCTAACCCTTGCAGACAAAGCTACTGTGGCGTCGGACGTGCCCTGGTCCGACTGCCGATTCTTATCAACCTCTTCTCTAATTGTTCTGAATAGAATACAACACCCTCTCAACTGTCGTCCCACTTCTTCTCTTCCTGTTTGAACCTGAGCTTGATGATCGTAGTTGTTATGGTCTCTGGTAGCAATGAGGTGGCTGACGCACTCCCCATGCCCTCCATCCTACATCTCCAACTTCCTCCCGGTCTCGACCTAGCTGACATGGCCGTTGAACAACGTCGTGTTGGTTCTCCCTGTGACGAGGACTTTTACATACCCCAACTCCAGGAATTGCCACTGATGGCAATGGCACCACTATGCGACGTCTCCAACAATTCCCACCATCCTTTAGCATCGCCATCCCTCCGCCGAAATGTCTTCCCCTCCCTACACAACCTTTCTCACCCTGGCAGTCGAGCTACCGACAAACTGGTTTGCAACCGCTTCGTCTAGCCTGGGATGCACAAGGACCTGAAAGCATGGATATGTGCGTCTCTCGGCTGTCATCGGGGTAAGGTCCAACGGCACAGCAAAACTCCCATCGACACCTTCCCCTCTCCGGATTCACGGTTCAGTCATATATATCTGGACAACGTAGGCCCCCTGCCTTTGCTCAGTGACCGTTCCTATCTCCTCACTTGCGTGGATCGACTCACCCGGTAGCTAAAAGCTATCCCTCTGCCTGGTGTCGCTGCCACAACAGTCGCCAAGACTTTCCTCAGTTGTTGGGTAGCCACTTGGTGACGTGGACTATCACGAATGACCGCGGGGGCTAATTCAAATCTCATCTATTCCAGTCTCTTCTCTCCTGTTTAGGTTGTACTTGCATCCGCACTACAACCTACCATCAGGATACCAGCGGGATAGTCAGACAGTTTCACCCCCAGCTGAAGGTCTCCCTACGCGCCGTAGACGATCCGGATAACTGGACAGACCACCTCCCCCTGAGCATGTTTGGCATCAGCTCAACTCGCAGGTTGGATCTTGACTGCACCACTGCTGAACTGGTGTTCGGCGTCACCGTCCGACTCCCCGGTGAGATGATCTCGCCAACCCCGCGAGATGCAGTCGAGGATCCTGCCAACCTACTGCATCGTCCCAGACAATTCATGCAGACACATTCCCCGGTTCCGCCTGGGCCTTCAGTCTTCGAGTCATATCTCGAATAAGACAAAGCGACATACTCTCACGTCTATCTCCAATGTGATCGAGTCAGCCGGCAATTGAACCACCCTAAGACGGTGCCTACTGGTTTGTCTCCCGTGGGACGAAGGGCTTCCGCATCCGACATGGAATTCGCGAGGAGGACGCGAGTTTGGATTGTACGAAAGCAACAGTCGCGGACACCCCTCTGGAGGCGCCCTTTGGCCCCCTGACTCCTGTCCCTCCATTCCTCCCCGTCGTATACTCCGTCTTTCTCATTTCCACTACCCTCGACTGCAAGTGCCTTCTCATCAACCTCAAACACTAGCAGCAGGACATACGCACTCTTCGCCTGTGCCCCCTGTATATATCACCCGTAGTGGACGCCATGTTCATTTCTCTGACCGTTTGATTACTCGTTTTTTACAGATTAACAGTTCCTCTGGTAGGCCAAACATAAATCCAAGCAAAAGAGAACCTGAAACGGACACGCACGTAGTCACACCACAATTCGGGCCAGACGAAGACCCAGTCACCAATACTGCTGCATCAACCATTACTGCGGCAAACGAGGGGAAATGCATGGAAGCACAAAAAATACTAGAAACTCGGGACATCAGATAATGTCAATGCGGATGCGAGTGATGGTCGTCAACGTTCAAACGCCGGCCCTAATGAATGACATGGGGATTAACATAATCACCCTCTCCCCCCCCCACCCCGGCGACCACAAAAATTATCCCTGTAATTATGCGGGCAATGAGCGCCAAAGTCTATTAAGGACTCCCCAACTCGCACAGTTAAGACGAACCCGTATAATTAACGCCGTACTAACATAGCTATCATTGCCTGGCTATGAGACTTGGTACGATGCTCACCTCCAACGCTGGAAGCTCGTAGGCTTTTGAAACGTCAGACCAGTAAACTATGGTTCCCCAGATCGCCTTTCCTTCTGATATTAACATATATAAGAAAGGGAGAAGGTTCGTAGGAAAAAAATAAAACTGTACTGTGAATTTTAAAGTTGGCGACAACAACCCGTCATCAGAGGAAATGAACAAAGGAGAAAGTGAAAAGGTCAGACTAGACCGATCGGTCCGACAGGACAGACACTGACAGACAGGCAACTGGTATATGAGAGAGGAGTGATCACATATCTACGGCAGGGTTTTGGGCAAGAGAAGGGGGGAGAGAACTGTTGGGGGAAGGCGGCTGGCGATTGAATGGAACTGCTGACGTTGGTATTGGCGGTCGGAGATAGGGTACTGTTGGGCAGAATTCAGTGCGTCGATGTTGGAGGCGATCGGAGACAAAAGAAGCACCACCGCCAAGTCTTACCCATCGGTAAGGAAAAGGGGGTACAGTCTCCAAAGCCAAATAACGCAGATGGCGACGCAATCATGGCAACAAGGTTAATCAAGTCCTCAGAGACTGGAAAACCTACACACCACTCGCTGAGGATCCCAGTAAAATGCAGGCCGCAACTGTAAAGAAGAGGGTGAATGAGTTCACTCAATTGAAACTCACAATCCCCCATGACTCCAGATTTATGACCGTCAGTAACTCACGCATTACACATGCATATGGACTCCCAAAGGCGCACTAAGCAGATGCGCCACTGAGGATCATAGTGCCACTCATTGGATCGTCCACTTGCAAATTCACCAAATGGTTACACAGGCACCTGAGGCACCTCATCGATGGATCAGGATACAGCATCACAAACTTGTAGGCATTCCTCCACAGGATCCTAAAAGGAAGTCCCGATGAGTGCATCCCATCGTTAGATGTGGTTGCCCAATTTTCCTCACTGCCACATGACCTGACAATTGAGAGTGTAACTCGACGCATGCAATGCAGCACGTTTCAGAAATGCTTGGACTCTGTCTCAAGAACCACTGTCAATTCAATGGAATTTTTTATTAACAGTTTAAGGGCATACCAATGGGCTCACCAATACCGGGTCTACTTGCAGACCTGGTATAACAACAACAACAACTAAAAGAGGATTTTATGCGAGCTTTTGGGCCAAAAATGTGGCTTCGATACGTAGGTGATACATTTTTTATTCTAAAGAACTGCAAAGTTGAACAGTTGCGTAATAGTCTGAATAGTGTTTTATCAGCTATCCAGTGTGCTCGCAAAGACGCAACAGAGGGCATCCCCTTGTTTCAACGTTGGCGACCTCGCAATGAGCGTCCACCGAAAAAGGCTCTAATGTTGATGTCATCCTTAAATATGAAGGAAATCATACTGCGGCCAATAAAAGCAGCTGCGTCCGATCCAATTTTCATAAAGTCTTTTGTTAATACAGCAGCGATTATCTACTTAAACAAGAACTCGCTTTCTTGTATCAGATATTCCGGCCCAACTAATACCCTGTCGGCTTTGTAAAAAACCGCCTCAAACATCAAAGAAATCTACAAGGCGTTGGTTCTAATGATGGACCAGAACTGCGGAAATTCTACTCTATACCCTACACATGAAGGGCATTTCCGAAGAGAACGTCCGACAGTAAAACCAGTTTGGCAGCTCCATTTCCCACAAGCCGGCGTCCTCCTTGCGCGCTACATTATCCCAAGTAAAAGACCCCATACCCTGAGAGCAGCAAACAGATGTTATCTATCGCATACCGTTCCCTAACTTCTCCTTCGCTATCGTTAGTCTTGCAGGCCGACGACTTGGGACGCGTATTAACGAACCTGAACTGGCCATCTGCAGACGTGACCCCTTGTCAGTCGTGTTTACACGACCAGCACTAAACCCTCCAAGCCCGAATGAGCACAACGACACTAGTCTGCGTCCCAACTTAGGCTATTTCGACTTGCTTACTACTTCACAGTTACCGCCTCTGACATTGATACTGGAACCGTGCGTATAGGATTGCTTTGTGCATTTGTGGAATATTTTTTTACGCGTCGACATTCCCCAGGAAACTGAATCAAGTGCAGTTTGTTTATCAGCACGGTTCCACCGACAACGCAGCCAACTCGCGGTTATTTACAGCCTAGGGAAACAATCGCTCAAAATCCTTCAAGGCCTGCAGTTATTCAGTTCCCACGAGATCTGCGAAGGGCTAAGTCGTTTCCGATTAAATTCCATACAATTTATAAGATTTTAAGTATCTTTTCGTTTATTGAGTTTTGAATACCTACTTTAATCCGTCATATACAATTCGACGTATTTGTTATAGCATCAAAGGCGAAATTACACCTTTTATATAATGCCGAAGTTTATGGGGTCTCAGCAATCTAACTGTAATAGTACGGCCAGCGACGGTACCTCGTTGGAAGATAAGTCTGGTGAGATGTCCTTCGCATCCAGAACCTGTGCTCGCTCTAACTGCGCTTCCGACCAACGAACAGCAAAGCGTGCCAAAAGCGTAATTACCGCGAAAAGCGTGAGGTACGAAGAAGAGACTTGTGGTGGGTGCGCCTATATCCAAATCAGAGTAGAACAACTTGAAAAGGAGCTTTCTGGTTTAAGGACGTTCATAAAACAGAACCTCGATGACCAGAACGTTTCTAGTGTTAAATTTCAAAAAAGGAAGAGCAAAACGCAAAAAACGCGAAAAACGATCTCATCGGTGGCATTTACAAACAGGAGTTGCAATTCAGTAGCCAACATCGCAGACGCTGGTAACAGCAGGACAACGAAAACGAAGCCGCCGATAAGGGTAGACTCTATTCCCACGCAAGATGACTTAAGCGATGTCACAAGAAAATTACCTGGAGCGCAAGCCATCTCGCCTACTGCTCTTGCCAAGAGACGATACAACTAGGCCATCCAGTCTACTGTTGCCCCCTCGCAGTAATGCTTACAACAGAGAGAAATGCAACCGGAAATGCGGTTGGTGCAAAACTGAGGTACTCGAACACAAATACCCAAAGCGTCATACCGAACTAGACGAGCTAAAACTTTGCGTTGCCGAGCTGTCTCCAGATGTTTTAGATGTAACCGAGACCTGGCTGTCTGGGCATATTAGCGATAGCGAAATAGCCTTGCATGGATACCAAATTTATCGGAAGGACAGGGAACATCGTCAGGGTGGTGGTATAGTTGTGGATGTGAATGAAGGCCTGGCAGAGACGAAAACCCCACCAAGTTTGCGTGCGGCACGGAAGCCATTTGGTTGACCATCAAGACTACTGGTTCCCCGTGTCTCGATGTCCTTACTGTCTATCGACCACCTAAGACGGACCAAATCGCCGGCACTCAAATTTTGGTGCAGTTTGAGAAATTTTCCAGTCGACCGAACACCAAGATCATGGGCGACTTCAACGCACCAGGAGCAAAATGGCACACCCTCCAAGCGTCAGGTCCAAAATCGACATTCGATTATCATCTGCTGAACAAAACATTAAAGGCGTCCCTCACACAACGTGTAATGTTTCCAACGAGAACTCGTGAAGGACAAAGGGCAAACTGCCTGGATCTGGTTTTTACGAAAGCACCAGACAGCATAGACGAGATCACGTTCATGCCGCCTCATGGCCGAAGTGACCATGTAGTGCTTCTGTGGAATTATTCGTGATTCTCCATTTGCCATACTCCAGATCAAAAACGGACGCAATGTTTGGCGGAGCGACTTCAATGAAATGAGGGCTGACTTATCCTGTCTTGACTAAGGTTCATTGTTTACGCGAAATGCCAACGATAACTGGGAGCTGTTCAAGAATGCCCTTCTGCAGCGCATTAACAACCACTGCCCACTGACTAGCGTAAGGCTGGACAAACGCCCTGGGTGGCTAAATATCAACCTAAAGAAAGAAATCAACAGGAAGCACAAATTGTGGGGGAAATACTGCTTCACTAGGCAAGTTTAATCTTTCAACACCTACAAGTCACAGAGGAACAAACTGAGAAACACGATCGTAATAACGCCGCGGGAATCCGAAAAGAAATTGCTACAAAAGGCAACGCAGAACCCAAAATTACTCTACAGCTACCCCCAACGAGGTACCGGGAACAGACATCAAATTTCCTTAATAAGAACTACCGATGGCGTTGAGATTGCTTATAGTAGGGATAAAGCTGCGTATTTTCACAGTTTTTCCAATCAGTCTACACAAACGAGGCAAGGTTCCTTCCTCGCTCCACAGAAGAATTGCCGACCCCAAGCATCAGTAATTTAGTTCACTTCAGTTCACTTTATTGAGGGAAATAGGCGTAAGCAATTGAGTACCCTATTTGCAACGTAAAAAGTGTAGTATACAGATACATGTTCCGGGCTGGAATAGTTCAAACACGCCCATAATGGTCATTTCGAATCATAAATATGTCAAGATTCTTCCTAAAACTGTGTATAGATGGTGACATCACAACATCCGCGGGAAGGGCATTCCATGGTTTGACCACTCTAGCAGAAAAGGAGAACTTCAGCACATCCAGCCTTGCCTGGTGAGTGCGCAGTTTAAACGGGTTACCTCGGAGTTTGTTAGTGGTAGCAAAATCAAAAAAGTCATCGAAGGCCAGACTGCAATCCAACCCCTTTACAATACGGAAGGCTTACAAGAGATCCCCGCGAAGTTGCCTGTAACTCAACGGTAAGGGGTTCAGGTTTACTAAGCCAGTTGCATAAGAAAGGAGATTTGATCCCTAACCATCTTCGTGGATCTCCTTTGAACTCTTTCGAGGCAATTTTGATCGTCAACCTCTCTAGGCTTGTCTCCCGTACTCCAAATGCGGCCGCACGAATTTTCCGAATGTCTTTGAGTAAGCATCTTCGTCAAAATCCATAGACGCACGCTTGATGGTGTACAGTACGGACATGGCGCTTTTTGTCACTCTCGAACAATGGGCGGATGGTTTAGGGAACTCGTAGTCAACACACGAGGTCCCTTTGCGCTTCAAATTCTTGAAGGGCAGCACCGTCCAGAAAGTAGTCTCTTGTGCTGGCGGATCTGGCTGTGTTGCCTAGGCGAAGTATACTACATTTACCAACGTTGAACCGCAGGAGCCAGCGGTTTGACCACTCCTCCGACCGATTCAGGTTCATCTGCAGTCTGTCTTCTTCGGCAGGACCCCGAATTACATTCCATATCTTCATGTCATTTGCAAACCTTGCTACTTCGCAGTCTAAAGCTCTTGCGGCATCGTCCACTTATGCAAGGGACAAAATGGGTCTCAGTACTGAACACTGGGGGTCAGCACTCTCGACCATAGCAGGATCTGATTTCCCTTGACCGATGCACACAACCTGTGTTCGACCCAAAAGGAAGTTTTAGATCCATTTAAGGAAGTAGCCACCGATCCCTATTTTTTAGTTTATGTAAGAGGCCTGGTGTGGCACAGTGTCGAACGCCTTCTGGAAGTCGATGAAGGCCACGTGGATCGCGTGTCGTCGTCGAGAGCTCGGGTCCAGCTCTGGAGATATTGCAGCAAGTTTGTCGTGCAGGATCTTCCTTTCCAGAACCCATGTTGGCATTTCGAAAGCAGGCTGTGAACTTCCAGAAATTGCATCAGTTCACTCTTTATGATCTTTTCCATAACTTTGCAGAGAATACATGTCAAGCTTATGGGCCTGTAGTTTGTCGTCGGTACCCTGCTACCTCCTTTGAACAGCGGAGTAATATGCGCCAGCTTCCAATCAAATGACGTTTGAAATAGCATCGACAAAGACACAGAAAGTTCAGTGGCAAGTTCCTTGAAAAGCTTGGGTGGAATCTCGTCTGGTGCTGGCGACTTCGATTCGTTCAATGCCTTTAACTCTCCTCGGACAACGCCTTCGGAGAAGAGTAGCCCGACTGAGCACAACGGAATTATTCTGCCGGTAGGATCACGATACTCTTGTCCGACCTCAGCGCCCTGAGGGCATCCTCCTGCGCTCTCGGGATGACCTCGTGACCCTACCGTCAGACAAAGGACGATCGACAGTTATACTTGACAAGGGCGAGTACCTCCAGAAAGTCAAGGCCTTGCTTGAGGACAGGCAAGCGTACGTCAAATGTAATGGAGATGCCATGAAGAAGCTGGTGACGTAAATAAACACGACGCTCAATATGCTACAAAATAATGGCGCGATGACTGGGGCAGAATGACTGGCCACCAAAGGTTCTACGGGCTACCCAAGATACACAAAGATGGTGGCCCACTCCGTCCCATCGTGTCTTTGCGTGGGATACCCACATTCAACCTGGCCAAATGGATGGTCCGACGCCTGAACTGCCTCACCTTGGGCTCCGATACGACGGTCCGCTCATCCGTCACTTTCCTTGAAAGACTGAAAGGGCTACAAATTGACACAGCCGAGGTCATGGTGTCGTTCGATGTAACCTCGCTTTTCACCTCGATCCCAAAGGATTTGGCAGTTGAAACTGTCAGCGACCACCTCGTCACCCAATACACGGAGGCAAACAATACCCCCAAGCGGGGGCACCTAGTGCCACTGCTTAAATACTGCCTCCAAACTTTCTTCACCTTTGAAAATATTGTGTGCGAGCAAATCAAATCTACGCCGATGGGCTCACCGCTAT